CCTTCCTTCCTTCCTTCCTTCCTTCCTTCCTTCCTTCCTTCCCATATCGTCCACGAAGAAGGCCTGCACTAAAGTTCAAATATAAATGGCTTTGGTCCCCTGCAATTTTTTTTCCTCCCATTTCCTTTTGCTTCTGGTAGATGCTCTCTGAACTCTATGTATGCATCTGCCAAGGATTTGGGGCACCAGAAAGTTGCTCTCTACCTTCTAAAGAATTAACCTTGGGTGCTTTGGAGGTATCATGGAGATGTTCCACCCTCTTGCCTTTTTTGCAAACACAAAGCAAAATAAAACAACCCCTTTGACCCTTTATGGCAACAGTGATCCGTACAAATTCTCGTTGAATCATCTCCTGCTGTAATATTTTTATTCAGCCAACTTTGTGCATTTCTTATGAAACATTGCTTTCCCCAACATGGCATTTGCCGGATGTGTTGGGGCAACCGTTCTGGAAAAACTGCCTCCTTAGCACATCTAGAAGATGCCAGCTTGGGGAAAGCTGTGACAGCAAGTGTGATTCACCTGAGCTCTACATCTGCCTATAAAAACCAGTGATAGTGTAAGTATATTAATGTTGTCTACATGCAGTAGTCTTGCAAGCGTCATTCTGCTACTTAAGACTTGGTGGGGTTGGCAACTTTCCCCATGAAGAGCAGACAGCTGGTGCGATGCTCGTAGACAAGGAAGAGGAACGGGTGGTCGATGACGAAGCGGATTTGAGCTGAAAGGGGCATGAAGCTCACCGAGGTTACAGAGGCAGCCTCCGTCCCTTCTTCGTTCACTGTAATAGTCCCTTGATGATTAAACTGCCAAAAGGAGGATTAAAATTCAGAAGCAGCACAAAAGTTACATCTGGGGTGCTGTAGTTGCGCTAAGTACCTGATTAGGATTAGGGTGGCCTGTAATTTTCTCAAGTGGCTCTTATTAAATCTGCTTTTTCCCTGCCCTCTATTCTCTCTTCTGTGTCCGCTCCTTTCCCCTCTTTGCCCACCTTTCTCTCTCTGATATGCCCCCGCTCTCCGTCCTTTTTCCTGGACCAACAATCTCAAAATTATCGTACATTTCCCTTAGCCTTCTTCTGACCATAGAACTAAACCAAACTGGGGAGAAAGTAGCCAGTACAGAATAATTCTTCTGCTCCATTTCCCGTGCAAAGTTGACCTCTGTGGAGTTTTAATTTGTGCCAGCCATTAATTACCTTATTGATAGTTATCCTTTCTTCTGAAATACCAGAGTAGTTGCCATCTTGGGTGAAGAGCTCGATGATGCCCATTGTTTTCAGGTGCTCAATCAAGTCGTAGCTCTTCTCCAGCTTAAATCTGGGCAGCACCACTTCTCTAGTCCTAGCGAGAGCAAGAGAATTAAAAGTTAAGCTTTAACTGGGGCAAGTCGTGATTCCGAAATTCAAAACAGTTTTTTCAACTGCCTCTACAGTGTTTAGGTCTATTATGTAGGCTTTGTTTGGCTGCACTCAGTCCGTTGCTGGTGTGACACCCACCTTCGCTCCACTTAAAGGCCAAGTACAGCCCTTGGCTTTAAAAACACACACACACACGTGCGCGCGCATGCCCTCTTACCATAACTCAGCAGACCAGTGTTTCTGGACCTTAGCAACTTTAAGAAATGTGGACTTTAACTCCCAGAATTCCCCAGCCAGCCATCCTGGGGAATTCTGGGAGTTGAAGTCCACCCATCTTAAAGTTGCCAAGGTTGAAAAACACTGCAGTAGACCTTGCATCACCTTCAGTAACAATTGTAGAGGGTGATTAAGGAAAGACATTTTGAACCCCAGAGAGGAAGCTCTACTAAGCGGCTTGCTATTCTCCCCGTTGTGCATTGATTTGCGAGTCTGTCTTCACAACCATTGGATCCAGCTGCATCTTTCCCCCTCTTTAACAGAGCCAAGATGATGTGATCATTGCATGCCAGTTCCAAGTTTCTGCTTGAGAGACATGCACATCGGCACAATCCCACTGGGTTACAATAAAATTGCATGCTGCAGGGCATAATATAGGTTTTAGATAGGTATCATAGAGTCTGAGATGGTTAGGAAGGACAGGATTTCCATGGCAATAGGATACCTGTTGGTCATGCTCTTCTGCCATCTCTCAACCACCTGGGGAGTAAGCTGGTTCTCCAGAATCTTCATACCGGATAGCTTATAGGGCAGTACAATCAACATGCTGATGTTACCCACATAGGGTAATTGCAGCACTCTACAATCTAGCTCATTGTCTTCAGTGGCCAGGAAGCTGGCTTTGGTCTTCATCATGGGAACCTTCACCGTCTCTTTCTCGTTCAGCCGGAAGGTCTGTTTGTGGGTCATCTGCACTGGAAATTTGTTTTCCCAGGTTCCTGGTAGCACAATGAAAACATGAGTCCATAATTCTTTTCTAAGAATTAAACCATGTTTAGCTGTATCGGTTACATCCAGTTGCAATTTTTAATGCAGTTTAGCATTCATAGAAAAATTCACACTATATTTGAATATGATATTCAGGCTTTTTGTGCATCCTCTCCTGATACCCATGATTAAATTGCCTGAGAAGCTCTTTCAGTGTAGATTACGCTATTGTTATTTGTTGATGCTGAATTGGTTCTGATGTAAGTTTTTTTTTTAAATTACAAATTCCCATGATGTAAGCTGTTCTAAAATATAACAGTTGTGCTGCTTGTACAGAATTTTTGGTAGTGAACTTTTTTAAAGATTATTTTCAGAATGTTGACTCAGGAAATTCAAATGTTGACAGTCTTTATGCTAACATTTGCCTCACTGTGAAGTCCACTGGGAGCAGAGTATCTAGACTCGCTTGCAATGGAATTCACAATACAAATATAAATACACACACACACACACTCCATTCTCTTACAAGGTAAAGTAAGGGTTATGTATTTAAAAAAAACAGCCTTTGCTGATATTTGTTTCTTTACCTTTGAAGTACAAGCAGTTGAGGATCATCATCAGTGTGTCAGGGTGTATGTTAACAAGAGCTTCTTTAATTAAGCCTTTGGTGAGCTTTACAATTCGCTGATTAGCATGAGTAATGAAGGTTGGGTCTGAAAAGTCAACCAGCTGAGCCTCAGCAAAATAGTACTTTTTCATATTGTCCTTGAATTCATTCAGGATAGAAAATTGCCTTTGAATATAGAGGTCATTGACTGACCTGAGTGTGTAGCCAAAATTTCTCCTGAATAGCCTGTGAGTGAGTTTGTGGAAGAGGTTATGAATAGTCATGAAGTCATACTTGGAACTGGTATTCATAAAGTCTTCAAAACCTAGAACGCCCAAGACTTCTTCCTGTGTTCGGTCTCTTAGTCCCAAAGAAACCATAGCCATAGCTGTGGAAATGCCAACTGGAGCCAAGAGAATATTATCTGAAAAATTGACGTGATCCCTAATGCTTCGGTAAAGGTCGAAGCCAAAATCGGCATTGAGGATGTTGAGACGCTGGATTCTGGTTTTCCCACGAAAAAGTTCCAGAATGTTTCCTTGCTCGAAATGAGAAATAGCCTCCGGAATGATGTCAATTATGTCAATGTAGTCATCATCTTCACTTGCAATTTTATCAAAGTCCAAGTAGTCTTCCACGTCGTCTTCTTCAATGCTCAAGTCTTTGGTTACTGTATTTTCTTGATGGAATTCAGATGACGAATTAGTGATGTGAAGAGTTTCATTCCTGAGAAGCCCACGAGGGTGGATGGATTGTGTCTCGCCAATTTGTTCAAAATGCTCGTGGAAGTCCTTGATTCCACACCATACCAGTGATATAGTGAGGGAGAAGACAGCTGAGCACTGGAACAAATTCATCTTTATGAGCTAGAAATGGGATCCTTCAAAAGCCCACAATTCGGTGCTCTTGATCTAGAAAACAAGATGTGCACAGGTTTAGAAGGCATGCTGAACCTGTCTCGCTCATAGTATATGAAAATTACAGTTGGCTTCTGAGGAATAAAATCATTTAGATATGGTTTGGATGTTTGAATCAACATTCGTATGATTGCAGTGGTGTATACTGAGACATTTATATTCAAGAGCAGGTGGAATGTAATGGGCTTCTGGTTTACACATTGGGCTAAGACATGGTTTGCACTAAACAAAGTTGATAAGATACGGGGCTGGATTCCCACCACAGACTGAGCCAGAACCATGATACTCGAGTGTATGAAACTGGCCAGAATATTGGACATGGGCAGAGGAGGACTAGGTTCAAATCCCCAAGTGATGATAGGTAACCTTACACTCATAATTTTCTTTCCAAGTCTGTCTCACAGGAAGGCAGGGGAGAAAGTGTCATGTCCACCATCCTAAGGTGATGGTGGTCAGTTGCCCAAATAGGAAAGCGATAAGACTGTAGTTTAGTAGACTTGTAGAAACAAAGCACCAGTAATGGTATAAATTAGTTGACTTCCTTCTATAAGTGGATATGTGTATTTATTTGTTTTGTTTTTATTTTTTGGCAATGATTATTTCCAGCTTTTGGGGATAACTAATCAACCTTCCAAAGCAGCTTACAAACAATATAAGCAGTCATAAATAAAATATAATAAATATTGTTAAAGGCGCAAGCAATGGACAGCTAGGAATCCCATGGGGCAGTTGATGATAGTAGCCTTGTGAGCTGGAAAGCTCCAGTTGACAAGTAATGCTAAGACCTGGGATCCTTTGATTACTTCAGATGTTGGGTGCTAATCTGAGCAGCTTTAGATAGCACAGCCAATGGTTATGGATGATGGGAATTACAGTTCAAGCAACAGCTTAAAGTCAACATTGCTGCAGTTGTTTACAACAATCTCATTGTCTTGATGCAGTAAGTTGGAAGAGACTCAGATATTCTCAATATTCACAGTTGTGTCCTTTTGCTTATAGGAGAGAATGAAGCCTGCCTTAAAACAGGTGGAAATCCTTGTAAATGCACTCCGAAAGTTCTTTAATGTAACTCTCGGTGTGCAATTGCTCGAGAGATTGTATAGTCTTTTCAGCTTAATTTTTCTCTGTGTTGGTTGGGTACACAACCCTGCCTCTTCCAAGTCAAGCCGTTACACTGCTGTTATTTGGGGGGAGAACCACACCGATCTGTGCAATTCTTGCACGCCACTACTGATGTCTTTTTCAAAATTTCAAAATGTTGGCCATCTTATAAAAAAAAAAGGTACACAAGCTTTCAGTCAATAAATAACATTTATCTTGCAGAACTATGTTTATATTTATCCTTTGAATTTCCCAATAAGTTTTTTAAAAAGGGTTAGATCTAGATAAATTAGCCTATACAAGACAGTAGTTCCCTTATTTGAATAGAATCTCTCTTGCACTTTTTAATGCAAGATGAACTACAGTTCTTCAGCCAACAGTGGGAGTGGGAAGTGAAGGTGTTTGGAGTCAGGTTGAAGAAGCTGCACCACTCCTACCCTATATGTTTGGGGCTCTTTCTTTCCAAATTCAAAAATTCTGAGCAAAACCCTCAAGGAAAGCAAATCAATTCTGTACGAAAAGAAGTGCTACAGGAATGAATGTTGATAGAATGTTGAAATATAATGGTCTCTTCTGACTCTGTTACGCAAACCTATTTACAGGCTATACTGCCTTGAGACAACCGTTTAAAATGTCCTTCCTTCGCACAATTTTTCTGTTGCAGCAGAATTACCATAAACCGCTTTGTTTTCATCGTGCAACCCGCTAAGAGGCCTATCCTAAGCCTGGCATTGTAGAAATGAAATCATAAATAAGATCAAGAGGTTGAATGGTATTTTGGGCCATTTCACCGCATGAGTGTTCATGGCCACTATATTATCCATAGATTCATTGCCTTGAGTTGCAGTCCTTGAGTTGTCCATCTCCATTTCACCCTAAAAATACTTGTTTTGGGTTGTTTTTTTTAAACCGCATCCCCAAAATAAGAAATATTCTTACCTCTTATATTGACGGAGGGAAGACTCGCAAATGCCTTTCCAATAAAGGCAGATGAAAATGTTTCAATGTGAACTTTGGCGCTGCGGGTGCCTGCTAAAGTAAACAGACTGTAAATCAATCACTGCTAAGCTCACCCTGTCAGCCAAAATCCCTTATGTATGCGGTTTCTGCTAGTTGATTTCCTGCTGTGTTTCTTGCTTATCTTTTTTTTAAAAAACATGATTGTTTTATGGACAGGAGCAAAGAAAGATCTTTGTCTTGTATCTCTTACATTCAAAACATACCTTTACAGCTTAATCAGTGATTGAGATTGGCACCTTGGTTTCTACAAGCTAGCATATTATACTAGTGTTTTATTGTATTATTTTTGATTGTGTGTGTTGTAAATCACCGGGAGTTGATCCTGATTCCAGCAGTAAATACCTTAAATAAATAAATAAATATTTTGGTACTAAGGGAGGCATGTGTTAGCTTTCCATGGGCTTGGCAACTCTTCTTCGACCAGTTGAGCCTAAGAGAAGAGGCCATAATGTGTGTCATGAAAAATGCGTTATTAGCTGGACCAGAGGGGTTGTTAGGCTGACATAACTGAATCTGGAACTGATTTTACTCTCTCAAGCTAAAGAAACCAAGATGGGAATGATCAGAACATCCACTTCTTATTCCATTCATATTGGTAGTTAGCAAAGCAAACTTGTTGTCCTTTCAGTAAACAAAAATTTTAAAATGAAGTTTCCTCACTAGCTCACCAGACGCTTGCCACCGATCAAGGAAGCAAAGCCAAGGTTACAAAAACTCTTCCGCGACTTCTGGTTGTATTCGGTGCTGATGGGATTTGCTGTGGAAGGTTCAGGTAAATCCTTGGTTCTTTGTCTGAACTGGCATTAAGAGGGAAACACCTTGATTGGAGTGGAAGAAAAAAGATGGAATAACTGCCCTAGGTCATATTTAAAAGAGCCTTATCAGTTTGGAAGATCTTCACAGGGCCAAGCTGCTGGAAAGTAAGGCCTGAGACCGAAGGAACCAAAATAAAAAAAAGAATTTTTCTACTTGAATCTGAATCCGTTTGGAGCTGGTGAAGTTTCTCCAGCCTTAAGAAAGGTGTTGGAAGTCTTTTGCTCCAAGTCAATCGACAGCTGCGTTTTTCCATTGGGGATCAGTGGTTTGTTTAAACTGTGGTTTTGAAAGAAGCCTAGGTAAGGCATCATGGTTTGATAGGAGCTTGTTCCTAGCAGCCTAACACAAGCTTCATTAGGCTCTGGTGGAATCCAGAGTGTAGATAAAAAGCTCCAGATGAACCGGAAGCCTACTGAGCTGGTCCAGAAACAATATTTACTGTTCTTTTGTTTTTAATTATTTCCTCCGAATGTCACTTCAGGTCTTTGGCCCGAAGAGTGGTACGAGGGCGTTTGTGAGATTGCCACCAAATCACCTCTCCTGACCTTCCCAACCAAAGAGCCCCTTCGTTCTGTCCTTCAGTATAACTCTGCCATGAAAAACGACACTGTCACTTCTGTAAGTCCTTTTCCCCTCTTTTTTTTTTTTGTCTTATTATTAATCACAATAACTATTGCCAGGAACTCCTAACTGAACACAGAGCAATCCAAAAGGAAACCCTTGCGTGATTCTCATGCTTGGGTAAGCCCATGCTCTCCCTTAAAAAAAGCCATTGTGATTTAATGGCTAAGGCCTTGGACTAAGACCAGAGAGATCCATGTTTAAATCTTCCCTCTGCAATAAACTCTCATGATTTGGTTGACTTATTGGGGAATTGGACAGAACAGAATCCATGGGGCTATTCACACGGGCCAGGTAGACAGAGATGCACACCTAGAGAAGCGATGCATCATAGTGCTTAAGGAACTGGACCCAGTCTGGATTCCAGTTCACTCTTAACTGCGAAGTCCCTTTCAGATCCTGTGTTTATCCACAATTCAGTTAGGGAGTTTTATCTTTATCAAAAAAAAAAAAAATTACAATTGCAATGTGGGCTGTTGTGTCTTCGCAGGGCAAGGGGGAGAATATTTTGAAAGGAATCAGACAGGAAGTATTCTCAAGCTTTGTCCCTTCTGGGCAAGTCTCTCTCCAAGTCTCCTGCTCACTTAAGATTTCAAGACCAACCAGCGTTTAGAAACCAAAAATTGCAGGATAGAATCAGTAGGTAGTCTGCTGTTCTCCTCCCTTCCCCCCCCCCAGCCAAAGTTCTTCCCAGGCTCATTTCCTAGAATAACTGGGAGAATGTGAATTTCATCTCTCAGATTAATCACACTAACTTCAAGTATTTTAATTCAATAAATGGTTTCTTTAAGCCCCCCCCCCTTTC